ACAGTTCATTTCTTGTTATATATCTAATTATCTTTATAAATAAATATATTATCAGCAATTTGGTTTTATCTCTCTAGAGACCCCTGTCTAACACAGAACCCTTGAAAAAAACAAAAAACAGATCGCCATCAAGTCTGACTCATGGTGGGCCACATGTTATATGGATTTCCTTGGATGGATATTTACAGAAATAGATAGGCCCAAAGTCTGAAATCAAGGTGACAGCAGGCCATCTTGTCTCACTAAATGAAGTTCCTTTCTTGTCAATCCTAGCTTCTAAAAGCTCGAATCTCTACTTCCACCTTCACCCAATATTCCCTTCTATTAGTAATTCTGTGTCTGTTATCTTTTATTAAGGCTCCACTCAGATTAGACTATGATCCACCCTACACACGTATGACCTGATGCTAACTGATCACATCTTCAAACACCATCTTTCCCAAAAGGTCACATTCACAAGTACTGATGGTTAGAATGTCAGCTTATCTTTTTGAGGTGTGGTTGTTGTAAGATGTCATCGAGCCTCCTCCGCCTCCTCGTAGTTCTTTGTGCCACAGAGTCAAGCACTGCCCAGGCCTGTGTCATCATCACAATTGTTATGTTTCAGCCCATTGTTGCAGTCACTGTGTCGACCCATCTCGTTGTGAAGCTTCCTCTTTTTCACCAACTCTCTACTTTGCCAAGTTCTACTTTACCATGATGTCCTTTTCTAGGGAATGGTCTTCCCTGATCACGAGGGGAGTCCTCAATTAGATGCATTGGCATAGCAACCGCAACCATGGACTGAAGCATATCAACTATCATGAAGATGGTACAGGTATACAGGGCTGGGCAACGTTTTGTTTAGGTATACCTAGGGCCACCAGAAATTAAGAGCTAACTCGGTCATAATGAAGAACAAGGGCTGTATCCAAGTGTTGATAATACAGTGGACAAAGGAAGGTGCCCACTGTTGGAATGGCTCTAGCATATCTCTGTTCTATTGCTTTTCCTTGTAGAATGTGATCATTTTCTAATTAACTACTTTATGTGAAGGGACTGTTGCTAGAACCTCAACGGACCTCAAAAAGTCTAAGATGCTCTAAAAGTAATGCTCTCAGGGGTCAGTTTGGTGCTGAACTTCCACAATCCCCTACCAGATTGTGTTCTTAAGTAACACAAGCCCAGGCATATCAATCGGACACAAAGGTAGCTAACACTGTCTGAGCTAGGCTGGTGAAAAGTTCTCCTCGAAGATGTGTATCCAAATAGACTGTGGGGCAATGAGAGAACAAGTCCCTGGATTATACATTATGTCAAAATAAAGCTAAACCACAGGCTCCTCTCTTTGGGATGACGACCTTACACTCACGGCTGCTGAAACTATTCCCATCAGTTGAATCACCCCACCCTACTTTAGTATAAATTACCTATCTTAGTGCACACGATTGCTACGGTCTTTTACTGGCAAACGGAAAAAGCCTATAAACACAATGTTCATGTGTGGAACTTTCACCCACCAACAGAACAGGCGGATGATGATCTGCCTCCACAAACATGCCATTTCAGCAGATTCCGTCACCTTTCTCCCACTGGTAGAAGAATCATGCCGTTTTCTAAAGTGGTTGCCCCGTATTACAGTTCCATCAGCTGCTATGAGGGTGCTAATCTCTCCAGATGTTCACCAACATTAGTTGTTTTCTGTTTTTCTCTAATGGTTAATGGTCACAAATATTATTTTTTTAATGTTTGTTAGCTTCTAAATGTCTTTTCTAAAAAACCATGGGAACTTTATTTAAGAATGTGTATATAACTAAATATAGTTTACACCCAGGGTAAAACATGTCAGGTCAATTTAATAAAACAAACCATCATTGAAGGTTTCCACCCTTCTCCCTTACCTTGTTGAAGGTCTTCTTTGATGAAGTCTTTTCTTATCCTCTCCTCGGTTTTTTTATTGGATTATTTATCTTTTTCTTGTTGAGCACTTAAAGTTGTGTATAAGTTTAGGGCTAGTTGCTTGTCTGATACACCAGTGCCAATTTTGTCCCTGTTTATGGCTTCTCTTTTTACTCTTGGTGAAATATTTTGATTCAACCAAATATCTTATGTGCAGTAGGTCTCAGTCATCTAGTTTGTACATTGCTCCTTATGTGTCTTCAGTTTTGGCTGATGATATATTTTTTCCAAGTGTTAGGGCCCCTACCTTGATCCTTATTGATGATCTTTATAGTTATAGGTTTACCTTTAGGTCTTTGATCCACCTTGTATATGGTATGCGACAGGGGTCTTGTTTCACCCACTGTTGCCATCATCATCATTCACTTATTCATTCAATCATTCATTCAATTCCATAATGTCAAGGCCAACTCATAGCGACCTTATAGGACAGGGTACAACTACCCTTATGCGTTACCGAGACTGGAACTCTTTAGTAGAAAGCCCAATCTTTCCCCTTTAGGAGTGGCTGGAGGCTTTGAACTGCTGACCTTTCAGATCAAAGTTAAAATCGTAACCATTATGCCACCAGGGCACCTTAGTGTTGCCAGCACCATGTTTTAAAGAGATTCTTTTCCCCATTTCATGCGTTTTGGCCATTTGTCAAAGATCAGCTGTCTACAGGTATATGGATCAATTCTGTTCCACTGGTCTATGTATCTTCCATTGTACAAGTAATAAGCTTCTTTCACATGGCTGTCTAGTAGATTTTGAGGCTGGTCTGTGAGAGTTGCACCTTGTTCTTCTTTACTAGTGCTTTGCTAATCTTGGGTCTCTTTCTTGATGATTTTCCATTTCTTTAAAGAATCCATTCTGTTGGGACAAACCTGAGAACCTTGGCACAGGGAATACATAGACTATCAGAAATAAGGAAGGATACAAATACAGAGGAGTCACAAATAGACAAGTGGGACATACTGAACATAAGACACCTGTGTACATCGAAAGAATTCACCAAGAGAATAATAAGACAGTGTACTGACTTGGAAAACATCTTTAACAATGACACATCACACAAAGGCCTTATTACTAAAATCTACAATACTTTGCAATAAGAGAAAAACTAACTGCCCACTGAGGAGGTGGGCAAAGGACCTGAACAGAAGTTTCACAGAGTCTGAAATCCGAATGGCCAATAAACATATGAGAAAATGTTCCCAATCATTAGCCATATGAGAAATGCAAATCAAAACAACTATGAGATACTACCTAACACCCTCAAAGATAGCCCTATTCAAAAAATCAGAAAGTAACAAGTGTTGGAGGGGGCTGTGGTGAGATAGGAACTCTCATCCACTGCTGGTGGACCTGTAGGTATGTGCAGCCACTATGGAAATTGATTTGGTAATTTCTCAAACAGATGGAAATTGAGTTACCATAGGACCCAGCAAACCCCCTACTGGGCATATAACCAGAAGAGGCAAGAAACAAACCACGGCCAGATATCTGTGCTCCGATGTTCATTGCGGCACAGTTCACAATCGCAAGGAGTTAGAAATAACCCAAATTTCTATCAACAGACGAATGGATTAAAAAACTGTGGTACACAATTGATGTGTGTATGGATTGGGATAACAGTTGTATGAGCCTCTAATAAAATGTTAAAAAAAGAAAATAAAGAAAAATGAATAAAACTGTATATACACTAAAAAAAAGGCTTGCCACAATTTATGACCACATGGAAGATCTTGTATCTGGAACAATATATACACATTTGAGATTTTGGAACAATGATGCACACTTTTTTTTGTAGCTCTAAAATACAAATGCAAAATATCTTTAAAAAAAAAACAAAAAACTGTGGTACATACATACAATGGAGTACTATGCA